TTTAATATATTTTAACACATTAATATTTACAACTACTTTTTAATAATTTATAATTATTACTTTAATATTTTATAATTGTATCTTTAACATTTTTAATAGAAGCAATGTTGTTTTTCTACTTTAATTTCAAATTACACTGAAGTTTTAAAAAATCTGACTGTGGTTTTTAAATTTTATGGTACTCATTTGTAAATAAGTTTGTTCCACATGATTTATATAATTTTTCTATTCAAAAACATTTATTTTATCTTTTATTCTTTTCCATTTTAAAATTCCAAACTTTTGTTTGGGATCTTATTTTAAGTTGGAGCATGTATATTGCCACCATTCTTGAGGATTTTTTTTTGTTAATTTATTCTTTGATGAATATTTAATTTGCTTGCAACTTTCAATTTGCAAAACTAATGTATGATAAATTACTTTTTTTGTCACAAACATATAGCATCCAGAACTGCAACGCAAATTTATATTCAAATATTATCAACGTATTTCTTAATATAATGTTTTTTATTCATATGATTTATAAAGCCTTATTTAAGGTGAGTAATAAATTTATTTATTTTTCATTCAACTCAATTATTTGTTTTTTATTAAATCAAGGAAATGAGAGCCGGCCCTGTTTTTCCAAATTATAGAAACAAAGTAGTGCAAGTTCCCATTTTTTTTTTTTTTTGGGGGGAAAATGTTTATGAAAGACAATTCTTCCACGTCAAAGAAAAATCATGAATAATATATTGGGAGGCCGGCAACTGATAATTTCGATGCCTTTAATGAGACGAAAACAACACTCCAAGGCTATGTTTCAAAATTTAAATCATTCATTAAACTATACGAAAGTAGTTCATAACATAATAACTGAATTGTATATTAATTGACTCAAATTTATTAATTTCTTAAAAAATTATTTAACATAATTTTTATAAAAAAATTCACATGAAGCTTAGATTATCTATTATGCTAGCCAATTAATGGCCTGTTCATTTAATATTAAAAAATAAATAATTTCTAAGTAGTTTAGAGATTTTATAAAAAAATATTTATTTTGTAGAAATTTTATAAAAAGAAAAAAATATTTTATATTTGGTTACAATAATTAAAAAAGTGATTATTAGTTAATTATTTTTAATTTTTATCATATCTTCCTTAATTTTTATTTTATAAAAATAATTTATTATTATATTATTTTAAAAACTTATTATATCTTTGCGCATCCCCCTCTTTAAAATATACTCTCTTATCTACCGCATTAAATTATTTTTAGAAGTTACTTAAAGTAACTTCTTAAAATAAACAGAAATATGTTTTTTTTCTTAATTTTGAGTATTTTCAAAAGTTCAATAGACATATTAAAAACTCAAAAAATATATTTTTTAAAAAAATAAGTAATTTTTTTTATGAAATAAGCTAAAACAAACGGCCCCTAAAACTCTACCACATTTTCTAGAAGAACAAATGAGGACTCAAGAAAGGTCTCGGTAATTAATCATTTTAATAATACAAGTTACTTGTTTTGTGTCAATCACATTATTGAATGCCTTGGTTGTTCTTAACGCGATTTGCTAGAGGATTACGTTTTAATGCTTTTGTTGCTTTTATTGCAAAATAATGTTTTCAAGGATCATAAGAAATTTTATTATGCAAACAAACAATGATCTCAGTGAATTTTATTATGCAAACAATGATCTCGGGAAAACTCTCTGTGTGTGTGTGTGTGTGTGTGTGTGTGTCTGTGTGTGTCTGTGTGTGACAGATTCAAGAGCTAATGCTTGAGAAATTAAAATTACTTTTTTTTTGAATATAAATGATAAGCTGTTGAGATTTAATATCACTTTGATACAAATATAATTTTCGTTCTTATCAATGTCTCATGTTCTTGTTCTTACCATACTGAATATATATGTTCCATTGTCATAAATATTGTTGTTAATTAAGGACTGCTTTTTCAATAAATTCAACACCTCCGCCTTTATGTAATAAATAGTTATGTTTAAGATTTTAATTAATAGCAAAATAGTCTTAGCATGTTTATATAATTAAGGGTAATGTATAATTTAATACTTGGAAGCTTGTTGTATGCATATGTTGTCTCTAAGTTTAATTTTTTAATCCCGTCCTTTTCATTTCATTTGAACTTTGAAGGGACCAAAGCCAAAAGGAGGTTGAAAAGAAACCAAGCCTTTTCGTGCAGCCAAACAATGATAAGCTATAAAGTTTAGAAGAATATAATATGTCAGTAAAAATTGGTTGAATATAACTAATATTTCTCATGAGAAAAGCTTGTGATGAATCCAACTCAATTTAAAAAAAAAAAAATCCAAAAGGATACAGAAGAGTGCATTGTCATACACGATGCTTGTCTTTTACCACACGATGAGAATGTTAAAGAGATTAAAAAAAAAAAACATTAGATGGCGGAAAAGGAAGCAGAAGATGACTATATAAAGACACAAACAAAAAACAAAAAACAAAATGTTATTTAACTGTGAAAAAAAAAATATAAAACTTTGATGACATTGTAAGCCGGGGAATAAGCGTCACGAAACAAATGGAGTTTAATTACGTATGATCATAAGAAGTGTCAAATGAGTTAAGTCCAATAAAAAACAAGCCGAATGTAAGAAAACAAAAGCTACAAGTTAATAATATAAACCACTATTCTAATTTCTATCACACCCATCTATTTTTGAGCACATCTTCTTTGATTTCATCACATTTTTAATCCTACTATACTCATGTTTCAAAAAACTTATTATAAGCCAATGAGAGATACTTGATTCAATTGATTAATAGAATTGAATTAACTTATCTTAAAATTTCAAATTCAAATTTTAAGATATGCAGTTATATTAAGTTTAAATTAACAAAGTTAACTCTAATATAACTCAAGGTCAACTAAGATTGAATCTCATAAGAAGTTGATTTTAAAATTTTGATGGTTAGAAACACTAATAATTATCACTCCTAATTTTGATATTAATTCTCAAAATCACAAATTAAATCCAATACAAATGATATCCAAAATACTCAAAATACCCAAAGTGTTAAAAACCAAGAATAAAGAGAACAAAATTGATGCAAATAATATGATTTATCATCTGGAGGTGGTAACATCTTCATGTTTCTTAGGTTATTGAGTGATGGAATAAATATTTATGACCTTTAATATAATTGATATTTAAGTGTTATTGGTAGATTAAGAGGTAAAGGAAGACCAAGTAGAATACTTATGAAGATTGTTGGACAATACTTTTTAATTAACAATATTTCTAAAATATTAATTAATGATAAAGTACAATATGGTTGTATAATCTATATAACTAATCCCACCTAATGGAAAAAAACTTATTGTTATTGTTTGGTATGCTAATGATTTTTTTGGCTGTTTTGTCTTGGTTTTAATTAAAAATTTAAGAACAGATGTGGAATGAGATATAATTTTTTAAACATATTTAATGTGTTATTCATTTTTTATTTCTTTTTATATGTTTGAAGTTTTCTTAAAACATAACTCATATTTTAATTAAACAAGAGGGAGTAATTATTATTATTTTCTACATACATGAAGATCAACCTATAGAATGCATTGGAGTGAGATTTATATTGTTCAATTTTTATCTAATCAAATCATAATTGTTGGTTATTTTACCACTGAAAATAACTTTCTTTTATATATATGTGTGTGTCTGTGAATGGTAGGTTAATGTTAAGTGGGTTAAAGTAATATCAATGATTACATGAGATACGCAATTAATGAAGATAATTAATAAAAAAATGACAGGAAATTGAACCTTTTTTCCACCGTTCTACTTACAAGTTACAACTTTTCAACATGTACTTCCTAAATTTACCATTATATTTGTAATATGTGGTCCACGGATAAGCAATAGGAAAAATAAATTGAGATAATAACAATAAAATGTGATCCACAATTAGAAGTATTTACACAATGGGACAAAATAAGATCGGGATACTCTTGTTTCATATTATATCTCATTTAAAAAGCTATCCTGTTCTGTTCTAATAGGAGCTGGGATGTAATTGGAATGTTTTGGTAACTATTTTTATTTGCTTTAGCCATCTTTACTTATATCTTCATATGACTAGTAATATCTAACCAACGTGTATGGAGACTTATACTTTATATATATATATATATATATATATATATAATTCATCAATTGAGTTTTAATATATAAATAGATAAATATAAGGATATGAGTCGCTCAAATATAAGAGCCCTTGTGTATGTGTAGGCTATTTGGTTAGAACCTATTATAAACTTAGATTATAATGAGCAACAATAACTAAGCATGAACTCAACAAATAAACTCATTAGGTTACTTGAATGGCAACAATCTAGGTTTGTGTTTTTAATTCTTCAAATCAATATTAATAATTATGAGAAAATATCTCGCAATTTGTTGGCTGGATTGAGTATCGAAAAACAATGTAAAATTAAATGGAGTAAAAATAAATAGAAAATATAAACAAATAAACAATAAAAATAATATAAGAATTAATATATATATATATATATATATATATATAATAAAAAGATGTGTATATGTATAATATTGGGATGAAACGAGATGCCTCAAACGGTATCTTGAGTTCCATCCTGTCTTGACCCCTTCTCTTTCATGTCCCACAAGCATCTTATCCTAATTATTTTGGTTGGGACAATCCTATCCCAATATGATCGGAATAGACATGAGTCTATTAAGATGGGTACAAAGCACAATTCTAAACATATAACACATCGAAATCTAATTGTCTTAGTGGCAAATCTATTTTTTATTTTTTATTTTTTTAACTTGAAAGAAATCCTGGGTTAAATTGTACAACTACTATTGCTTACATAGTATAAAAATACTTTGCTTTTATACAAACAAGATAAGATAAGGTAAAATAGTGATTTATATGTTTAGGCAAAAAGAAAGCTTATTTTTTTGTGTTTTCCTCCAAGATTTTTAGTATATAACGAAGCACCCCATGGACTCCTCAATTCCACCAACAATGGCTTTCAATGCACCTTCCCTTTCACTTCTTGTGCTTGTACTAGCACTTTGCATTTTCAGTTCTTCAATAGGGAAGGTGCATTGTGCTGCTGGCACTACCACTGGCATTACCGTGTGGCCCCAACCACGAAATTTCTCATGGTCTTCTCCTCAGCAAGCCACTCTCCTCTCTCCTTCCTTCACCATCACCACCAACGCCGCCCACCACATACACCTCGTCGCTGCTGTCAGCCGCTACCTCCGCCTCATCCACACCGAGCACCACCATCCTCTTGTTCCTCCCTCCGCTGTCAATTTCTCCGATAACACCCCTCCCTTGCCGTCCCTCACCATCGCCGTCGCCGACCCCGCCGCTCCGCTCCACCATGGTGTCGATGAGTCATATTCTCTCACAATTCCTACAACCGGACCCGCCAATCTCACTGCAGCTACGCCGTGGGGCGCTATCCGAGGCCTGGAGACGTTCTCGCAGCTCGCATGGGGAAATCCGACTATCGTGGCCGTGGGAGTGTACGTCTGGGACGCGCCGATCTTCGCTCACAGAGGGGTTTTGCTTGATACGTCGAGGAATTACTTTCCGGTGGAGGATATTCTGAGGATGATTTCGGCCATGAGTATGAACAAGATGAACGTGTTTCACTGGCACATTACGGATTCGCATTCTTTTCCGTTGGTGGTTCCGTCCGAACCAGATTTGGCCGATAAGGGGTCGTATGGCACCGATATGCAGTATTCTCGTGCCGATGTTCGACGGATTGTTCAATTTGGGCTTGATCATGGTGTTAGAGTTTTGCCTGAAATTGACTCACCTGGTTAGTATACCTAATTTGAAAGTCACGATCTATAATGCCCAAGATGCAAACAATTTTTGTTCTTTTTGAATTTGAGGCTCCTTGTGAATAATTTTAAGACCACAAACATGGATTTTTTTTTTTCCCTTAAAGATTTGAGATTACGTGAGTATATCTATACATATCTCAAAAACTTTCAAAATTTTTTTTTTGTAAAAAAATTTCAGAATTCAAGAAAAATATATTGGTGAAATTGAATCTTTGACATTCAATTTATGATGTAATGACGGAGAAACATAAAAGACAGACTATGAGATTATGTACTGAGTCAACTCATCCTTTTTTTTTTTTTAAATGTAATCATCATGGTAAAATACAAAAATAGGAGAATTTGGTTATATATGTATATAAATATGTAGTGTTATTATATTCTAATTGAAACTATAAAGCTCTGTGGTAGACTGGTAGGCCATAACCGTAAATCTAGTTATTCACTTTATTTGGATGCAACTTATCGGCTAATCCCTCCTAAGCCATTGGCATCGGCCGGATAATTGATTATTAAAGTTTGAAACTTCACTGTGTAAGAACAGAAAACTGATTGATACCCCCCCCCAAAAAAAAAAAAAAAAAACAGAGAGAGGCTGATTGATATAACTGATTTATCTATACTTTTCGTATGACTTGAATGTTTAGAACTTCGGATAAGTAATTGTTTCTGTTAGCATTGGCACTTTATTGAAGTCCAAAATTATTCCGTTTTCCCAACATGATTCAGCTTTTTAAAACGGTAGTTCTGAGGATTATGATACCTGTCATATTGTGTTTGATGTGTTTAACATTCATATCTAACCCTTCAATTTATGCTTAGGTGAAGTGTTTTGTAATCAGTGTTACTGAAAAGTTAGGAATTGCCCGGTTCATTGAGTTCAAAAACGCGCAAAGAATGTTCAGGACTGATTATTAGTCTACTCATAAGGAATGCCTTTTGATTAGTAGTTGTTCAGCAGTTTTTGTTTAACATTCGAGTTTGAAGTTTACAGCTTGGGGCACTGTCGTACTGATACTTTGTCTTTACTATAACCTTTATTCTAATATAAAAGCTTTATACTTGAAAAACGGAGCCCAATGTGTTTGATATTTCACATTTTATATCTTGCATGTATCATATTTGGGTCATTATGCATTTAGACAATGCTGATTACTGTTCAAAAGAAAATGGAACAGGATCTGTATGTATCGCATCTCTTGTTATGCCAATGTTTATAATTTTCAGGTTACCATGATTACTGATTAAAAGAAGCTGTGATTTGACTGACAGGGCACACAGGATCTTGGGCATTGGCATACCCTGAGATTGTAACATGTGCCAACATGTTCTGGAATCCGCCAGGAGGTGATCCACTTGCCGCAGAACCTGGAACAGGACATTTGAATCCCTTAAATCCTAAGACCTATACTGTGCTTAAGAATGTCATAAAAGATGTTGCCTTGTTATTCCCTGAACCATTCTACCACGGTGGTGCCGATGAGGTCATCGCAGCTTGCTGGAAAACCGACCCCACAATTCAAAGCTTCCTAGCTAACAATGGAACCGTCAACCAAGTTCTGGAGACATTCATCAATTCCACTCTCCCTTATATCTTATCCCTCAACCGAACTGTGGTCTATTGGGAAGATGTGTTCCTATCCGACCAAGTTCATGTTCCATCCACAGTCCTTCCTAAAGAAAACGTGATTCTACAGACATGGAACAATGGACGCAACAACACGAAACGGCTTGTTTCTTCTGGATATAGAACCATTGTTTCGTCTGCAGAATTCTACTATCTGGACTGTGGTCATGGGGAGTTTGTTGGGAATGATTCCCAGTATGATATTCAAAGTGGAAACCAAGGGAATGGAGGGTCTTGGTGTGGACCTTTCAAGACATGGCAACTTATCTATAACTATGATATCACGTATGGGTTGAGTGAAGATGAGGCAAAGCTGGTTCTTGGTGGGGAAGTGGCATTGTGGTCTGAGCAAGCAGATCAAACTGTGTTGGATTCAAGACTTTGGCCAAGAACATCAGCGATGGCGGAGTCACTGTGGTCTGGTAACAGAGATGAGAAGGGCGTGAAGAGATATGCAGAGGCCACAGATAGATTGAATGAGTGGAGAAGCAGAATGGTAAGCAGAGGCATAGGAGCTGAGCCCATTCAGCCACTATGGTGTGTTAGGAATCCTGGTATGTGTAACTATGTATAAAAAACTGATAAACACTCACCGAAATAGGTGTCACTATTATTCACTGATTCAAACACTTGATGATACTTTATTGCTTCCTTGCCCAGCCCATGCTAATTCATTCTTCTATGAGAATGATTGATGTTGTCAGTCAGTTGTAATTGTAAATGTTTTGATTTTGAATGTGATTAAGGGCCATTTGTTTAAGATTTTAAAAAAAAGAAGTGATTTCAGTCAGGTTAAACCTGAGAAAGTTGTTGGGAATATGATGGGGTTATTGGGAGAATTTAAGTTAAATGCGTCAGGAATGTGTTGAAAAAACAAGTTATTTGGAATACTTAAAAAATAAAAAGGTACAAAAAATTATTTTTTCCAAAAAAAGCTTCATGATTAATTTAAAGTTTTTCAACAACTCAGGTGTTAAATTTAAATCACTTTTTTCTTTAATTCTTAACAAATTGGCCCCAAGTCTGATTCAATTCATTGTTAAATGTTAATGATATGGTCTTATTTCAAAAATTATTTTGATCGATTGTTTGTATTAGGACAAAAACTTGTTTCAGTCATTGAGAGATGCCATCAACTTGTCAGTATCGATTTGTTATTCTAAAGTTTTTGTATCACTTTTTGTACAACAAAAGTATGAATCTATTTCATCCCCCCACCCAGAAAAAAAAAAAAAAATCCAGAAGCATGAGGTTCAGAGTTATGAGAACTGAATTAGCTGGTTCGATCGGGAACTGATCACATGAATAAGATATAATGAGAAACCCAAAAAGGAGAAGGACCAGTCAAAATGGGTAAAACTAACTGAACGGTAATTGGACTTGTTATGTAACTTTCTTTTTGTTCACACATATACTTGGCAATATATATATATATATATATATATATAAGTATAATTTTTAACTAAAAAATCACAAATTATGAACATGAGTGATCCACGTGGTATTACACTTTTATCAAATATTGATAGTAAATAAGTGAGGCAAAAGTACATGTACATTAAAAGAGGGAAAAGCATAAAGCTGGATCCAATTGATCCTGTCTATAGATCGGTCTTATTTTTCTGGAGCCTGGGTCATAAAGTGGGCCTTGGTGCCCCAATATTCATGAAACGGGCCTTTTAATCGGACCCATATGCATCTTCGTTGTTATTTTTGTGGTTTCTAAAATATCCACCAACAATGAAATTGATAGTGTATCCACTCCTTGCATAAAAAAAGAAGTCGTATATCATAATATTGAAAAAAGTAATTTTCAATAAAGTCTTAAAAAAATACTTCCTCCATTATGGATTTATCCATCAACAATGTTGCCCCTCCTTGTTAAATCCTTCAATTGGCAAGAGATTTTAATAAATAAGACTTATATACTTATTCTTATATATTTAATATACTTTTATCAAATCAAATTAAGACATGAAAATTTTAATGTGTTATTAATATTAATAATAAGAATTTGTTATAAAATAAATAATCTATACAAGATATATATATCTTGACTTAATTAAAAACAAGCACCTTAAATATAAGCATTAATATATAATTTTTTTTCATTTTAATATTAGTATTGATGGTGACATGCTAGCATTAATTTCTACTCTATCGGTCTTTTTTTATAATATTTAGATTAAAGTATACTTTTAGTTCTTTAATTTTATATAAGGTTTTAATTTGGTTCTTTAATTTTATAAAGTATCTTTTTAGTTCTTCAATCATAACATTATTAATTTTAAATGATTATTTTTGTATCAATCATTGTTATTTTTAAAAAAATTAAACTTAATATGTCAACATTTAAGAATATTTTATCAATATTTAAAAATTTAATGTAAAAATTTGTTAGGATAAAACTAATATTGTTAAGGTTAAAGGACTAAAAATACACTTTATAAAGTTAAGGGATAAAAATAAAGTATAATGTAAAATTAAAAGATTAAATATATATCTTAACATAAGATCTAATTTTAAGAGATATAATATCCTTTTGGCAAAAGTATACTTTCGTCCTTTAATTTTTTATAGCATTTCAATTTAATTTTTTAATTTTACAAAATATCTTTTCGATCTTTTAACCATAAAACACTGTTAGTTTTAATTTGTGTCAATCATTATTGTTTTAAAAAAATAAACTTAATATGTTAATATTTGAAAATATTTTGCCAACATATTTAAAAGTTTAATGTAAAAATATTTTATAATAAAACTAACAGTGTTAAGATTAAATAATTAAAAATATATTTTATAAAATTAAGTAATCAAAATAAAATGTTACTCCCTCTAATTCTATTTATAGAGCAAAGAGAGAAAAATTTTTTGGTTCAATTTATAAGTCACATCATTAAATTTTCATTAAAAATTTTTCAATTTGACCTCCATTGAATGTTGGAGAGAGAAAATACATTGTTAAAGCATAAATATTTAATAAGGGTAAAGTTGAGAAATTATTAAATTTTTATATAGAGTTAATAAGTTTTAAGGTTTTTCTTGATTATGGTGAAACATGTTAGAAGTGCTTTATAAATAAAATAAGAGGAGTATATAAACTTAAAGGACTAAAACTACTCTCTTTGTCCTAAATTATAAGACATTGTTAGATAAAATCTCGCATATCAATAAATTTTATTAAATATATTCAACAATTTTATCTTTTTAAAATAAAAATATAAACTTTCAAAAATATCTATCATTTAATACATTGAAAAAAAAGGGACAAAAATTAATTATAGAGAGAGAAAGAACAATATTAAAATTGATGCATTTAATAAAATTTTAATCTATTTAAAATATCTTATATTTTTTAATAATTTTTTTAAAATATTTTATAATTTAAAAAGGAGGGAATATGTGTTAGGATCATTTTCACAATTCTAAGCAGATAAATAGGATGCAAGCACCTAGACGAAAGTTCCCAGGTGGGTATTCATCATGACTTGATCGTGCACAATTTATAGGGCCATTTATGTTTTCTGGAAATTACTAGATTATCCCTTTTCCGGAAATTATTTGTTTATCTGTGTTTCTTTACTGTCACGGATCACCATAAATATTTTGGACCATACGTGGAATCAACTGTGGAAAAGCCAAACTTAATAATTTAGAGATCTTCTTTTTCAATCAATCCAGCTTTCATCAAATAATTAGAATATGCTGACAAATATACCCATAATATATGATTAGATCATAATAATTTTATAAAAAAATTAATTATTTAATTCTTATAGTTTTAATTTAATTATAACTTAATCCTTAAACTTCAACTCATTATAATTCAATCCTTATTATTTTGACTTAATTGTAACTTATTCCCTAAATTTTGACTCTTACAACCCATTCTTTATAATATTAAACATTCAAAATATTGGTCCCTATATGGTAAAAAATAAAATTTTAAATATTAACATGATGTTACAGTAGTTTAAATTTTAATCTCTATAAAGATTATAAACCTTAAAATTTTAAAGTAGTTTTAATTTTATAGTTTTATTTTTTAAAATATAAGGATTAATATTTTAATTAGTTAAAGCTATAGAGATTGAGTTGTAGGAGTCAAAATTCAAAGATTGGGTTTACAATTAAATCAAAACTATAATAACCGAATTACAACAATCAAAATTCAAAACTATAAGAATCAAATGATTAAATTTTTCTAATTTTATAGGACAATTTTCACTGACCAATGGTAGATTAGTGTATTTAATGAGTTACAACTATAAAAGATTAATGAGTTACAACTAAATTAAAATTATAAAGATTAAATGATTAATTTTTCTTAATTTTATAGGACAATTTTCACCGACCAATGGTACATTAGTGTATTTAATCAGTTATAACTATAATGGATTAATAAGTTATAACTAAATTAAAACTATAAATATTAAATGATTAATTTTTTCTAGTTTTATAGGACAATTTTCACCGACCAATGGTACATTAGTGTATTTAATTCACCAAACCTGTTTTAACATATCGATTAGCGGCGTGCGGAGTGGTACAAATAATGATTATCATGAGATTCGGTCATACAATACTTAGAAAATCACCAAATCTTAAATTATTGGAGGAGATGGTGTACATAATGAGGGTTTCGATCGTGATAGTTGTTTTGGATTTTTAAAAAGGAAAACGTATCTTGATAATTTTAAAGTGTTGATAAAACCGCTAATAGCTGTATTTGAGAAACTTTGAATGAATTTAGGCCATTCACTGGAATATTGGATCCAAATCTGTGACTAATATCTATACATCACCGCTTACACTGCCTCAAGACACCAAAATTTCAGGTTCCTTTTGCTTATTTTTGCAAACGCGACAAGCTAAGAAGTTAGCCGTTCTGATTTCTTCTAGTGTGTGGCAAGCAATGTGAAATGACGAAGATGAGAGGGTCACTCCAAGCGGCGCCTATCATTCCAAAGCAACATTTACTTCCTATTCTAACACTTCTCTTTATCTACACACACAAGAACATATAAAGAAAATGATTCAAGTAGACTCAAACCAAAGAAATTAATAAACGCGTTTTTCTTCTGATACTAAACCATGAATCCTTCTCACTTTGTGCCTTCACTTCTGGTTCTGCTGGTTCTGCTAGCTGCTTCATCTTCCAGTGATGGTGCAATTACGTGTGACCAAGCAGTAGGGTACTTGAAGCCATGCAACGAGTACTTGACCGGCCCGACTGGGGCGAAGCCGCCGCCGGCGTGTTGTGACGGAGCCAAAGCTTTGGTTGCTGCAGCTTCTACGCCGGAAGATAGGAAGGCTGCTTGTGAATGCGCTAAAGCTGCTGCTAAAACCATCAACGTCAATCTTCAAAATGCTCATGATCTTCCTGATAACTGTGGCATTTCCTTGCCGTTCGAGATTTCTCCTGACTTGGACTGCAACAAGTACGTTTTAATTAATTAACAATTATGGGCCGGTTTGTTTAAAATTAAAGAAAAAATATCTACGAGGGCACCAGATTCAACTGAACGAAGGATTTGGCTTACTTTGCATTTCGGGTTCATGTTTTGGATATGCAGTTACATTAAATATAAATGCCGAAAATATGTCTGAGGTATTGGTGAAGCTGCTCTTGCTAAGAACAGTCCCGCATAGTCATAGTGGGGAATTAGACTAAATGGGTGGTGGTAATATCTCTGGGTTTTCCAAATACTGGGGATGGAATAAAATAAAGAAAATTAAATTGATTTTTTTATAGTCAAAATTAAAGTGATTTTATTTAAGTTTAAAGTCTGATTTGTTGGGAGTTTTAATTTAATGGTTTTAAATTAGTAAAAGTGATTTTTTTTAAAAAATGGTTTCCCTTTCACTACTCTTCAAGCAATTAATAAGGCTTGGTTCTGAGAAATTTTAATTTTAACAAGATTGATTCATAAAAGTCGGGTAAGTTAAATCAATCATAGAATATCGGCCACAGAAAATGATTATGTCGGATATATTTTGTTTGATTTAATCTATTTAATAATGCAAAGAATCATATAATTTGATATATTTATATATTCTGGCAAAAGAGAGATACGTTTATTTTTTTTGAAAAAAATTTATTTACTTAGCCTCATATATTTAAGATGCTTATTTTTAATAAATCAAGACAAGTGAATATTTTTATAGATTATTTATTCTATAATAAATTCTTGTTATTAATATTATTAACATATTAAAATTCATTTATTTTGATTTGATTGCATAAAAGTATATATAAAGTATGTAAGTCTTGTCCTATTTTTTTTTTCAATGATGTATTGCATGAAATTTCAAAAATTGGCAATGATAACATTTTTTTTTTTTTTGCATCTTTAATTTGATGAATTTATATCTATCTTTTGCAGGATTGGATATGGCACAATTGTGGAGGGCAATATGAAGTAGCTGAGAATTGGAACTCACATATATGTTTTAATATGCAGATACCTATATGTAGAGGAATAACTTATATTAATGAAACATGGAATTTACATATTTGGTTTCTTGAAATTTCTTATTCCCGTTTTGACTCCCACTTTTTATATTTTGTTACACATGGCATGGCGATCTTATTCTGAAGATTATTTAAATTTAAATTAACTTAGAAGATTATTTTTGCCATCAAACTATTTGTTTAAGAGCCAAGCGTTTCCTATTCAATTTTGATATAATCTTCTCCTTCAACTTAAAAAAAAACTTAAATTATAAGCTCAATAACCATTTAAGTTTTAACCTTAAATTCTTTTTTGATGTATTTTAAACTTTGAACATTTAAATTTGAGATAATCTAACTTCTATCATTAATTTTAAACAAACGTGGGTTTTGTGGGTCCAGAAATTCTCTTCCTGTCTACCTCTCTCTTCCTTCTCTCCCTTCGTTCCTCTCCTTTCGCTTTGCTTCTAAATCAGTGAAAAGAAGAGCCAAATATGTGGAGGAGCATAATCCCTCTTCCTTAGCCAAAACCTATGGCCCTCTCCTCTCCCTCCAGCTAGACTCTACCATCGAGAGGGATCTGGTGCAGTTGTGGCATTTCAGGAATGACAAGGTAAGAGATAGAGGAAACAAAGCGGAGAGCGAGAGGAGAGAGAAGAAGAGAGAGGGGGGAGCAGAGCGGTAGAGAGGGAGAGAATTTTTGGATCCCACAAAATGGATGTTTGCTTAAAATTATTGTAGGGGATATATTGTTACAAGTTTAATTGTTTAAAATTTAAAATGTATTAATAATTTTACAATTAAAAAATAATCTAATAATAATGGTTGCAGGCAATTAATGATAGTATTTTATGATAGAAATTACTCAAACTAACTATATTTTCTAGTAATCAAAAGCAGTATGTTTTAAAAATAAAAAAAATAAAATAAAAACAATTTTAAGATGTTTTTATTTTTTTTGTTTTTAAAATTAAAAAGTAAGAACAGTTTTAAAATCAATTAAATCCAAAATATTTATCCAAATAATCTTGGGACAATGACATTTTAGTCCCAAAAGACTAATTTAATATCAGTAAAGTCCCAACAAGTTGAAAAATGTTAATAAAGTCCCACGGTACATCGATTGAAAAGATAAAAACGAAATCACCCCCTCTCTGTATAGCAATAGGTGATGTGAAGGTTTTTTTTTTTTTTTGGAGCAAATATAGGTGATGTAAAGGTTGAAAAATCATTTCTCCACGTTTACCAATTACCCTCAAAACTCTATCTCCCTTCCTCCCTTTCCCCAACAAAATCCAAAATTCTAGCCTCTAATCTTTAAACAAAATTCTTAAAGAAATAAAAATAAGCAAAATTTATGACAGAAATTTTTATTAATTACAATGATTACATTTTCCTATGAAAAGAATATTTCACAGGTTACAACTTATAAGTTTTAATATAATATAGCAAATAAATTACTAATAAATGTATTATATTAAAATTATTAGGTTAAATTAATAGTATAATATTAAAAATTTAAAATTGTTATATTTTAATATATTTTTATTTTATAATTATATATTTCATTTTTATATGGAAATAATCACTAATACATATCTTGTTTTAAAATTCGTAGGTTAAATTACATTTTTTTTAAATGAAAAATTACTTGCAGCAGTAGTTGGATTTCGGTAAATTTATTTTGATTTGTTATATCATATAAAAATGCATTCCTTTCATACCACAATATAAGTCATTATTAATTGATTTATGTTTTAAAAAATTTCTTAAATATTGATTTTCTAAAAATTCACATATTTACATTTATACCCTTGAGTGTAACAAATATAACTTTTGAATTGTTCAAAACATCCTCATTAATTACTCAATAAAGTAAAGATGTACTCTCTCCATTAAAAATATAAATCATTTTTAATTGAATCTCATCTTATAATAAAGTAATTATTTATCTTCAAACTAATTTCATGTTTTTATATTTACCCTTATTTAATATGTTTTTTTTGGGGCCAAAATTTAATACCATGGTTCACTTTAAAATAAATATAAGTGATTTATTTATTAAGAGTATTTTTAAAAAATGCACAATAATTACACTTTGAAACCCTTAAAATGCCTTATATTTTTTAATATTTAACTATTTCAAAAATACCTTACATTTTTTAATGGAGAAAGTATTGAAATAAATATTTATATAACTTCTACCAATTATTTTATATTTTTAATCAAATAAAACTTCTAGGAAATGATTTATATTGTGCTCCAATATAAATTATATCTTGTAAAATATTTTTTTAGAAAATGTTAGTCATTATAGTTGATAAGAATTTCTGTTCATAAATTTTGTTTATTTTTTAATTTTTAAGAATTTTGTTCAGAAATTAGAAGCTAGAATTTTGGATTTTGTTGGGGAACGAGTGATAGGGAGATAGAGTTTTGAGGATCATCGTTAAACATCACCTGCTGCTTTACAGAGAGAGGGGAATGATTTTGTCTTTTCCTTTTTGATCAATGTACTCTGGGACTTTATCAACATTTTCCAATTTCTCAGGACTTTACTGGCATTAAATTAGTCTTTTGGGATTAAAATGTCATTCTCCCAATAATTTTTAAAATTTTTCTGTTTTTAAAAGCGGAAAACAGTTTTTTAAAATAAAAACTAAACACGTCCTAATTATTTTAAAAAAAAAATCCTAACTAAACTTATTTCAGGAAATATAATATGAAACTAAGTTTTAATTTCTCACGTGCTTACCTGCGGTACTCTCTTTGATTAATTTGGAAAATTATTAGGTGCATCCAGAGCTTTATGGAGATAATAACACAAGGCTTTTTGCATTTTGGACAGTGAGTTCATCAACTTCTTGGCAACCAAAATTAATGTGGTTTCTTCGAATGATCATGGTCTTCAACATATGTCACATCACCATTAAAACCATTGTCTGTCTTTGGTGATAATAATTCCCAATATCACATCACCATTCTCATCAGGAAGGTACCAACATTTTTCCTTGCAGATTAGATACTGACGCACTTTCTATTAACAGATTTGAATCTCATCACATGAGAACATGAGGTGTGGCTGTTGTTAGACTCTTTATATTAATTATGCTTAAAAATAATTTACTTTATCAAATAATTTAAGTCATTTGATTAGACACACACCCTAAATTTTATATATATTCTTAATCTATCTTTTAATTTTTAAATACGTGACTTCTTTGATTGGTTTGCCTAAATGATAGAGTCAGAAAATGTTAGATCTCTTATCATTCATAGTTAGATCTCTTATCTGTAGATATTTATAATATTGGATCTCTCTAGTAGGCCCCTACCTGATTCTCAGCCTGAAGAATGAACAGGTTGCATATTGCAACTCGCTACTTAGGCCTACTCGTAGTATGCCCAAGCATTTTGGGCTGGATAGCATTAGGTTGCCTTGTCCAAGTGGCATTG